CACACACACACACACACACACCTCCATAAGCACACACACACCTCCACACACACACACACCCCTCCACACACACACACACACACCTCCATAAGCACACACACACCTCCACACACACACACACACCTCCATAAGCACACACACACACCTCCATAAGCACACACACACACCTCCATAAGCACACACACACCTCCACACACACACACACACCTCCATAAGCACACACACACACCTCCATAAGCACACACACACCTCCACACACACACACACACCTCCATAAGCACACACACACCTCCATAAGCACACACACACCTCCATAAGCGCACACACACACCTCCACACACACACACCTCTAAAGCACACACACACACACATACCTCCATAAGCACACACACACCTCCACACACACACACACACACCTCCATAAGCACACACACACACCTCCACACACACACACACACCTCCATAAGCACACACACACCTCCACACACACACACACACACCTCCACACACACACACACACACACACACTTTCTTTTATTTAGTAAGCAAAGACAATTGGAGAAGTCCACACAGGACACAGTGGAGGAGGCCCACATCTCCAGTCCACTCCTGGGAGCTGGGGGTGGTGGCTCGTGCTGAGGCAGCCATCAAGAGGGTTACGGCCTGAGGCCAGTCCAGGCAGAAGGTTAGTGAGACCCCATCTCGCAGTAACTCTGGGCATGGCCGTGGATGCCTGCCAGTCAGCTATACAGGAAGATCATGCAGAGTCCAGGCACAAACACGAACCCTAACAAAAAGCTAACGAAAGCAGGAAGGCCTCAGCTCAAGTCTAGCGAGTACGAGGCCCCGAGCCAAACACCGGTGCTACCAAACAGATGGTGAAGAGGAGCGCTGCAGCCGAGCGGCAGAGTGGCCATGCAGTGGCACTACAGGTGCACACCGGAAGGCGCCGGGGCCGGGGACCAGGCGTGGCCGGGGAGGGGGCCTGCCACAGAGAGCTTCCCCCAGCGCCTGAGCTCCGGCCGATGCCCCTCACCTCTGGCCGAAGCCCGGGCCGCTCCCGAGACTCAACAGCCAGGGAGCAGAGGCCACGACGTGCAGCCCAGGCCGCGCGGCCAGGGCGTCTGTGGACACTCCCTGCACAGCGGCAGCCAGGCTGTGCCCTGCACCCTCTGGCCCACGGGGAGGACTCACAGCCCAGGGGACACTTGGGCCTGACAGGGCCGCGGGGAGGAAGGGGGGCCAGGCCCCTAGAGAACACCGCACCCGCGGGGGACGAGCACCGGCTTTCCTCCTGGCCGCGGAGCCTTGGCTGTGGCATCTGCAGCTGCCTCCCCTGGAGGCCGGCCTCCCGCCCGTCAGGCAGGCCTCCGTCCTCTCCCACAAGCCCCGCTGTCCAGGCCCACCGCAGGGCTCTGGCAGGTGTGGGGTGTGCATGGGGCGGCCTCTGTGCAGCGTGCCCAATGCAGCGGCGCCCCCACACACACGCGGGTGCGGCCTGTCCGTGGGGTCTGGAGAGGGGCCCGCACACGCCCGCACACGCGGCAGCACGCAGGGCGAGGCGGGAGCATGTGGGGAGAAGGTGGTGTGCATCTGGGGCAGATTTTCAAGGTCGAGCCCGCGAGCTGCCGGCGTGTGTGTCCAGCAGCCGGCCTGAGCCGCAGCTCCACGCCGTCCTCCCAGGAGCTGGGAGCAGGGGTGAAGGCCCGGGAGGCGGCGCTCGGGTCTCACAGGCCTCCGCAATGTCAAAGGGCACCGTGGGGGTCAGGTAGGAAGCGCTGACAATGAAGCTGAGGAAGTCTAGGGCAACACCTGTGCCAACAATACACAGGGGAGTCGGGGGACGGCTGAACGAAGACGGGGGGAGCGGCCGGGCCCAGGAGGGCGGACGGTGCAGGGGGGGGCGCCAGGTCTCCTCCGGTGGTCCTGGTCAGCTCTGCCGCAGCAGGGCCTGCAGCAGCCTGACACCAGAGGGACAGGAAAGGCGGTCACGGGTGATGGGGGAGGAGGAACGAAGAGACTCAGCCAAATGCCAGGCGGCCGGTGAGCCTGGGAAGCAGGCAGGACCGCAGACACGTCAGGCCCCCGTGGCATGCGGTTTCTCATGCCCCACGGCCCCTGCCAGCCACGGCCGCCCCGTCACCCTGCTCACCATGCCCGTAGCCCGTCGCGCACACACGCCGCGGGGGTCTGTGGCAGGATGGCCCCGGCGAGGCCCACGCTGCCCACGGCAGGCCCTGGGAGGAGGAGGCAGGGAGGGAAGCCCCAGGCAGCGGGGCACGGGCTGCTGGTCCCGTCACAGCCCCGCCTCTCGACCCCTCTTCTCTCACCCCCCACCCTTCCCACGGCCCCACGCCTGCCTTCTGCCCACCTCGCGCACCTGTGTGGCGGGCAGTGCTCTCCGCAGGCCGGGCCCACCGACCCCAGCAACCGTGAGGCCCGCACTGCCCGGAAAGAGCATTCCGCTTCTCCAGTGGTAAACAAAGATGAGGGACTCACAGTCTCTCCTGCCCGGGCTGGCTTCGAGCCACAATCCTCAGATCTCTGCCTCCTGAGTAGCTAGGATGACAGGTGTGAGCCACCAGCGCAGGCTTATAGTACAGCCCTTCCATATTTTCAAATATGAAACAGAACCTAACATGTGAAGGGAGAGAGCCCCTCGCCCTCTAGAAAGCTCTCTCCCTGATTGCTCCAAGCTGACAGAAGCAAAGCTCAATCCAATCATACACACGGGCAGAGTGT